TTCGCTAATTGATGGTGAATTCACTAGAATGGTGTTAAGCGAATTATACCTTTGGACCTGTTCCAAAACCTGAAGAAAATAAAAACGTCCGGATAATATGATACCCTACTTGTATAGGAATCATAAGGTTCATTAAGCTAATTGGTTGCATGCATGTTTGTGCTGAAGGTAGGTTAGCGGAAGGATACTAGCGAACTAGAAAACTGCAAGGGGGTAGCTGAAAGAGCTCGATGAAGTTGCGTAGCCAATATGAAGGAGCGAATAAATAGGTCACTGCGACGACTCAGAGCGGGCAGGTGGTTTTATTTTGAAGCAGGCCCTCAGTTGCATTACTATCGCAAAACAAGTGCTTTTCGGCATATGCGGTCGCAAAAGAAAAGGTATTTGGAAGACTATACCTCGGACGTAGAGGCTGTACCAGCGCAATCGGTCTTACGTGAGGGTCAAACCAATGTGTACCATTGCAGATACAGAATATGGAAGGAGCAGTGTACGGAATCTTGGAGAATCTTGTGAAGATGCATGAGTTCGACGTACGTGAGGTGAGGGAAAAGGTGAATGGGAGAACGCTGGCGAAGTTATAAGTTCCAGGCTGTGGATGAGATGAGCGTCGTGACTCCCCACGAGTGTATCTCGAGGCCAACCTGCGGTTTAAGAGAGTTGCTAACACCGTCTAAATGTGTAGTTAGATCCAGAGGTCTTCATGCTTAAAAGGATTTCTTAATTTGAGGCTCGGCTTCTGATTGGTTCATTAGGCCCCGATATGATATGTCCACAGGTTAGCTCAATGCAGTGGGCAGATGAGAAATAATCGCAAGTAAATAACCAAAATGCTGTGAAATGCGATGACTTATAACAAAGCTAATACATACAATGAGGAGGGGTGGAGACGAATTACTACAAGAGCTTTGGTGATGCGGTTGACTGGTGACCTTATGCAGTCGTCATGCCAAGTGAAGTCTTGCCTTTGTCGTAAATGTACTGATTAAGCGACCAATTCCACTTGCTCCAGCTTCTTTCATTGCCGGTGGAACACTTACGTCAGTTTCACCGGGACGATGATCTTTATGCTAGGTCCACTTTGCATGAAGTCCTCACGTATGGAAGGGTCAGACAACAAGTGGTTGATAGTCGTGCACATTTTGCTCAGCAATAGACACATGCTGTTACTCCGGCCAAGCCAAGAATATGCATACCAGCGGCCACATGATGCAAACTAGTCGATCGATGCTGGGCCAATTTGAATGTGTTGTCTGAAAATGCGATCTGGCTTGACTGCTTTAGGAAGGAGTAGATCGTCAATTTTGTTACTCGCTGGTATTCCAGCCAAGTAGACGATAACGCCCATTCACATGTTCGCTTTGCCCTGATGGATATTTGCTTTTGATGAAGCCCTCATAAACCTAAGATGACAATACTGATGCGGATATACATTCAGCATTGTATAGCATATACCGTATAGTACAAAGTACCCCTCGGCTTGCACTACTCATGATGAAGGGAAGAAGAGAAACCCCCTTTCTTTCATCACGAGTACGCAGTCCTTACACAAAACAACCACATAAACTACCTCGGCTACCATTTAAACATGTCAATCCAATAGGTGGTAGCTTCCAAAGGTCGTCGGTGCCAGTGCAAACGGGACTTTTCCTTGAACAACTGACGGAGGCAATTCCACTGGATGACTTTGCAACGCAGACAGACGACTTCCTGGATCGCCCACCTACGCCGCTTTTTGTACCTGCAAAGACGGGCAGGGATACCGAGACGCAAATCTACGAAGGAGATGTGAGTTGCCCTATTTAAATAACATTACATTAAATAGCAATTAATGAATGTCTAGCGATACAGCAGACCGATTTTGTCCTATCGGGCCTTGCCTCGTGGAGAGACTAAGCCTGCCTGTCCGATTGCTAATGTTAAACATGTATCCAAAATGATCTGAGTGGAATAGTCAATGGACAAAGAAAAAGCATTCAATGACTCTCATTCAATCAAACTTTCAAGCAGAGCCAGCCCAAGTTCATATCTTCAACAACCTCGGACTCAACCTTCAATATACATTTTACATGAGCTGTCCTGACTACTGCTTGGAGAACACACTGTGATTCCTCTTCAGCGCAACAAACAGCGAAACCAACAAGGTAGTTTGAAAATGGATAAAAGTAATTGAAAATTTGATTACCAACAGGCGATATGCTTATTTCGGATCAAAACAATAAGTAATTTAAAATTTTAGTGCTATAAAGAATTGAATCGAATAATAGTATAGGTTTTTAATCGTCTTTCTATCCATGCTGATTTGAAGGAGTCTTGACTTTACAGAGTAATCCAAAATGCCTTGTCCCTTGAATCTATTTCCATATCCAGGACTCCTGAATAGGTAGGCAACAGTGCATGCCATTAAGCCTGATAAGTTGATGAGATATGCTAGGTGATACTTTTGGTAATAAAGTTCGAGACTTCGATTATTAACAAAGTGCACCTAATTTGAAGCTGATCTCTTCCAAGACAAAAGAAAATGATAAATGGACTCTTGTACGCAATATAATTATGCACTTAATAGTTTTATTTAGTCATCAAACTAATCAGAAGTTACGATTAATTTATAGCATTAATATGACCTCATTTTGACAACTTTGTCGGAGCGACAGAGAGACCTTGTGGAACGCAACTTGTCCTGCGTCCTTGGTCATAATATTCATCATTTGATTATCTGCACAAGACACTTGACTTTGTACATTCCCAGCCATTTCGCAGGCATCGTCAGTGAGAAAAGCCAGATCAAAGTGACAAGTGAGGGCAGTCCCCTTAACCGATTTTCTGTTCAAACGCTGTGGCCTCACTGCTCGCCCGTATTTTATGTCCTACCATCTTATGTTGTATCTCTTTCTCTCAACCCCACCTAATATGGCCAATCTACCTACTCACACCATTCCATATTATCACTTCCTAGAATGTCTCCAAAGAGTGTGTCGTTTCACCACCAGTTTCAGATCCTGTTTGCAGAGCTTTTCAGGCGATCCTTGCTATACATGAAAAGCACCCTCTTGAAGCCTGAAATCTGGTTGCCTATGAGCCTTCGATTCCAGTGCCCGTATATGTTATATTCGAGGGCTTAAATACCGGTGATTCTTATGCCCTGATATCTTCTTCCTCCTAGCCATGAGACCTATGGCAAAGTTATCCTCCTTCTGATCCCCACCCCACTCTTTCTCATTCTCCTAGTACTGTCTTGGCTTGTTCATGGCCGCTTGTGTGAAAATTAATAGCTTTATGTCTTCAGTCCTTAATCAGATAAAGCACACTTCTCTTGTCTGACAAAATTAACTAATCCTAATGTTCTACTCAGTTGTGCAAATGCAGGATGGTTGGCAACATCCCTAGTTAGACATGCAACCAATCACCTCTCACGACAGACACACACGAAAAAATGCACACAAGCGCACACACATCGGTGATCAAATGTCGTTGTTCTCCCCAACTCGGTTTCGGAACCCTGATGAATTTGAAATGGAACTAGATCTTTGGTCTAGCACCTGTAATGGTCTACAATTAGGATATATGAGATGTGTTTACCCAATTTCGTTTAAGGTGAATTTTCCCACAATTATATGGCTAGATCTTACGTTTCCATTGAATTTTATATAGCTTTGCTTCCCAAAATGTATTCTTATTCAAGGTGGACTGTAATTTTGACCTCGCCTAGGTCTTATCAGCCCCCACAGCGGGATTTGAACCAATGTGTGAGTTAATGGCCCTTACTTTTGTTGAATAATTTTTAGATTAACTAAATAGATCTGCAAGAACAGATTAAGGATTTCGTGAGAATCTGGTGGTATTTTGCCCAAAATCACATGTAATTTTAAGTAAGAAAAAATTTAAGCAATCATCTA